CCTTCCCTGGCCCCGGGCTGGCTGCGAGGCCCCAGGCGGGGGGGGTCCCCTCCGGAGACGGGCTCGGGGGAGGCGCGAGGCAGCTCCCGCTGGCTCTGCCGCCCCAGCGCCCCGCTGCCGCTCTAGCGTCTGCGAGGAGAGGGCTTAAAATAAGGAAAGAGCGGCCTTATCCTCAGTGAGGAGCTGTAGGGAGCCCTTGTTAGAAAGGGAGAGCTTGGGGGGAGGTGGAGTGTTGCCTCTTAGCTGGTGTTTTTTTTTTTTTTTTTGTCGGCACCCATGGAGGGTTGTGTAACCAAACCAATTACACCCGAGAAGCAAGGTGAGATGGCTGCGTGTGCTCCGTAACGCATGCCGCAGTGAGCGCAGGCGGTCAGACCGCTGGAGTACCGCGGTGTTGCTGCGAAGCATCCCTGGCCTGATGCTTTGCTGTTTGTCCTACCCCCGGTTCTCCCTGTCCCCACCTAAGCACAGGTTGGTTATTCCCAGGAATCTGAGCTTCGGCAGTTGCACGCCTGAAGTCATTATTTTCTGGCAGGTTTTTAGCACCGTGTTTCCGTAATCAACTGTGCTGTGGGGTACCGCTGCGGCTCTCTGTAGCGTGATGAACAGAGCGTCTCTTTCCATTCTCCCCCACTCGGTAGGCTTCAGAGAGAGTGGTGGGTAAAACTGCTATTTTAGAGAAGTGTTTTGGTTTGGTTTAAATGCTGTTAAAATACTGTTGTGTTTTTCTTTAGTTTCAGAACTGTTTGTAAAGGGTTCAAAGCGTCAGATTTTTAACTGCCTTTTTGCTATGACTGGGAGTTTCAGCAGGCTAAATAAATATTTTGAAAAACAGGTATTTGGTCCCAATAGGAGGTGAATGTTTGTAATGCTATTTGAAGAAAGCATCCGTTAGCCAGGATATTTTGATGATCAGATGTTGAAACTGAACGTCAACAGCTACAATTTTAATATAAAGGTGGAAGGAAGATAGCATATTCAGATTTTTAGTAGGAAATACAAACTTCTGCTCTCTTCCTTCCCTAGCTGCCTGAAGGGAGCCTGCAGCTCACCCTCTACCAGTATAAAACATGTCCTTTCTGCAGCAAAGTCCGAGCTTTTCTTGATTATCATGGGTTGCCCTATGAAATTGTGGAAGTGAACCCAATAATGAGGAAAGAGATCAAATTCTCTTCCTACAGAAAGGTGCCCATCCTGCTAGCCAATGCTGGAAGCCCTCTGGTAAGTTGGGAAATGGTTTCAACTGTTTTGAAAGCTTGCTTCGTTTTCCCCACTAGCAACGGTTTGGAGATTTATGCTTCTCATTTGTCGCATACAGTATCATCTTTTATTCTCTCAGGAGCCTAAGATTTGTTCCTTGCTTCGTGATCTCTTGTTGCTTGGCCTTATTAGAGTTTTTTGTCTCTTTTTTTCCGAGACCTGTTGTTTTGTGTAATGACTCTATAATCTAGTGATTATGTAGCTCCCGATAGCCCTTATGCAGGACCCACTTTCTTTTTTTTTTTTTTGGTACCAGAGGGTAATGGGAGCTGCTTAGATCCTGTGGGAAAAGGATGAGGTCTAAAGAAAACTGAAGACTTAAGTGTGTGTATGTGTGTCCGTGTGCCCCCAGCGTTGCTTTCCCTCCTTTGCTGCCAAGAGCTAAAACCCCAAACCTGCTAGTGTTGCCTGGATACCTGCCCTCAGGTCCCCTGTTGTCAGAATGAAAGACAGACTCAGAAGTGATAATCGCAGAAGAAAGCGCAATGGTAGGACTACCTGTGGAAATGCTTGGGGACGAAGGGACTACAGTATTAACTTGGAGCCTCAGAATGCTGGGGTAAAGACTCCGAAGAACTTTCCTTTTCAATTTCACCAAGAATTATTTTTAAAATTTGTCTTAATTCTGTTTTTCAGCAATTGAACGATTCTTCAGTGATCATCAGTGCAATAAAGACCTATCTTATTTCCAAGTAAGAAAACAGGTTGATGGGAGAAGAGTTGAATCTGAATGGCCCTAGCAAACTGGAGATTTAGAACACGCTCAGCAATTAGCTCATTAGTATCCTACTGATCTTAGCGTTTGAAGCTTTGGGTGTTTGGATCAGTTGACCTGATCCCCAGCCGATGACGGTGCGGACAACCCACGTATATGTTGGTGTGTGTGTTAAAGCTCAGCTTTTACCTTTCAGAACTCTCTTTCATCTGTGAGATTCTCTTTGCAGAAAGATTACTTAAGCCTTGGCTAGGGTTAGTCCCAGAGCTAAACTTGCCTTTGGCTAGTTATAACATCTAGAATGCCATCAAATTGCTGTGCTTGCGCGCTGTCCTTGCACCCCAGTTGCAAAACATTAGAGAATCGTAGGAGGCTTTATGCCTGCAGAAACTTCCACTTGTGTCCCATCTGACAAAGAGAAATGTAATGTACGCTAATAATAATGTTATTTGCCAGTAAGTATTCCAGAGTCCTTTTCAAACGCATTTCAAATAGAATTTGGTACTTCGTGCTTCTTTTTAGAATAATGCATTTTAAAGTGTATCTCTCTTGATATGTCTTTGCTCTTGCACATTTGTGTAGCAGCCAGAGCAGGTACTATGCTTCTGTCCTCAGGAGGAAGAGCTTAGAAGAGATTGTGTCCTTTTATCCTCCTATGAAAACTGTGACTGAGCAAGGCAAGGAGACATTCGAGTATGGGAATAAGTACTGGCTCATGCTGGATGAAACGGAGACAAAGCAAGTCTATCCCATGAAAGAAGTGAGAGTGTAAGTGCTCTTAAGTTTCTGGGTCTCCCAAGTAGGGTCACAGCCTCCTCCAGATATCCTCAGGGAGGGTACGTACGTATAATCCTGCTGGAGCTGCTACTGACAGCTCCTGCCACACCCCCTCTCCCCTGCTTGGTAGCTAGTGGAGATGTGTTTTTTACGCAAATTGAAACAATAGTGTTAGCATGACCGTGATGGTGGGACCTGGACTGTCTAGCTCCTAAGATTCCTCCAGTTTCTTTCTTTGGCTTTTCTGTCTGCTGCAGAGGAATGCTAGCTTCCCATGAATGGGTTTGCTGCTCTACTTTCCATAATGGGAAGAGAAGCTAGTGCTCTATCTTAGTCTTAGTTTCAGTTTGAGATTGGAGTAGCTTTGCCAAAGAGTGCTCCTGAGTACGTTTCAGAGAGGTCACCGGAGCAGAAGACGAGGCGGGAGCTTGTGATACACTCGTGCTTGGCTCAATCTCCTGTGAATGCCGCTGTGATTTGTAGCTGCCTCCTGTAGCCCCAGGTCTGCACCTCGTTCACTGAAAAATCTCTCTTGAATACCTGCAGGGAAGAAATGAAGTGGAGAAAATGGGCAGACGATTGGCTTGTTCACCTCATCTCCCCCAATGTTTACCGTACACCTAGGGAAGCCTTGGCATCTTTTGATTACATTGTCCGTGAGGGGAAGTTTGGCACTGTGGAAGGTTTCTTTGCCAAGTACCTGGGGGCCATTGCCATGTTCTTCATTAGCAAGAGGTTGAAGAAAAGGTTAGTAGCACTGGGCACCACGTACATGAGAGGAATAGCTCCTCATCGTGTTGCTTTAAAGCTCCTTAGCTGTGAGCTCCAAATGTCAAAGTGCAGAACCTCAGTGTTTTAATCCAAACCGTTTAATTGTATGTGAGTAACAGCTGCACTTCTTTGAAGGTACTGAACCTCTCTACTCTTTGTGTTAAGATGTGCTTATTATACGCATGCAGTACTACCTATTACTCATTAGTTATCCCCTTCACTTGCTGAAATACCTTCTGAATTCCCAGGCAGGGACCAGTCCTTCATTAGAGATGTTGAAAGGTTAAAGTAAGAAATAAACTAGTTAGAAAACGCTATTTTTCTCTCTTTGCCTAGACATCACCTTCAAGATAATGTCCGAGAAGACTTATATGAAGCGGTTAATGAGTGGGTAAAAGCTGTTGGCAAACATAGACTGTTCATGGGTGGCAGCCAGCCGAACCTTGCTGATTTGGTAAGAGGTTAATTTTTGTATCTGTAGTTAGGTAGATGACAAGATTGTCCAGTTGTTCATCCATGTGAAATCGTAAATATGTATCTATATAAAAAAGGTAAGTTAAGTGAGATACTGTCAGTGTCCTTTTCTTATAAGTAACATAATTCCCCACATGAAGAGAACTTGGAAATACTCGTCTTGCACAGGGCAGCGTTTGTGGGTTTTTTTTTTTTTTTTTTACTCTGGGGGAAATGTTCCCTAAGTGTGCGCTTTACAAATGAGGTGAGCATCTGGAGGTGGATGTTACTGATCATTTGGGAGCATGATGAAAGCTGTTTACAAACAGAGACGCTGATCTGGCTAGTGGATGTTGGTGAATAAATTCAGGCCTGCACAGGACTTAGGAGATTCAGTGCTTTTGGAATTTCCTTTGCATGCAGAAGTGCAGAACAGAAAATGATTTCTCCTCCCCCTGCAGTCCTCCATGGAATGCAAGTGAAGCATTTCATAACAGGGACTGATGCAGAGATAGGATTAGCTTTTTCCCCCATAACTGCAGATAGTTCCTGACCTTTGCCTATTATTTCATCATACAAAAACATGTTTATTCTTACCACCTGTTTGCCCATTCACAGTCTTCCTTGCTTATCAGACTGGCGGAATAGATGATATGACAAGGAGAGAGTCTTATTGGCTAGGATGTTGAGATAGTTGCTTCAGTACCCTGAGGCATTTTCTACTGTTGACTATTTTGAGTGTTTTCAATCTTTATCCTCTGGCACAGGCAGTATATGGGGTCCTCAGAGTCATGGAAGGACTGGAAGCCTTTGATGACATGATGGTTAACACCAAGATTCAACCTTGGTACCAGCGCATGGAGGAAGTCGTTCAGAAAGCTGACTTTGTAATCTGATGTCAACTACAGCTGCCTTCCTGAAATACTTGCATGGAAAACGCTTCAGAAGGAAAGGCAATTCATTTCTCAACAGAGTTTAAAATGGGCTGGTCGCCTCCTGGGTGGACGTGCAGACACAGACTGTTCCATTTAGAGCAGTAAGTCTCAGTGAGCAGAAGGGGTCCAGCTGTGAATAAGCTTGAATATGGTATTTAGAAGGACAGGGACAGGTAAAAGGGATCTTGGACATTGATGTGAAGGAGAAGCTTGGATTGAACTGTGGATTATGGCAAACGGGCTGCTTCTAGGTAAGAGCCATGCTCAGAGCAAGTCACTGTAAAAGCAAGCCCCTCTCTGGACTAGTAGATGTTACAGCCATATCAAATATGATACATCTGAGCAGCTTTTGCTTCAGGCTGTCTTCCTCCGCTCATCCATATCACTTTGAAGTGTTTTCCTGACTGAGGCACTGGATACCAGGTTTTTAACTGACAATTTTTCTCCTGCAATAGCATCCTGCAAGCCTAGTGCTGTGGGAACCGCAGGAGTCCGCGGTACTGGGAGAGGCGTCCTTCCCGTGACAGAAAAGATGCTGCGCTCCACAGATTGTACGCTTTCGCTCTTCCATGTAAACGGTTCTTTCATACCTGATTCTGTATGGTCTGTGAGGATAAAGGCCTGCTTCTCTTCATGTGCCCTATGCCATACCTGTGAATTCTTACCTTACTCTCTCACCCAGAGAGCACACCCTACCCAGAAGAATCGCTAATGCACAGGAATTATTTAAAATATTTGTCTTGCACAATCTGACTTTCAGGGGTATTTCCAGGGAGATTTTGTTCCTGTTCTGGAAAGAACAGGATTAAGAGGAACCTGCGTGCCTGGGGGCTTTCTAGATGTTTTGTGATGTAAGACTAACAGCTTCGCTGCTGGGGCAGTCGGCCTAGGAGCCGTCCCTAGGCGCCGCTGTGCGATACGAACGCTACGGCGCTGCGCTAGCTGGAAAGGCCCGCTGTCTTCACGAGAGACAGCGTAGGTTTGAAAGCGGGTGATCCTCTCTGCAGCCCCAGGCTTAAACTTCCTTAATTCTCAGCCTGGAGCGGTTCTAATTTCCCCTCCCCAAAACAGGGGATGTCTTTTAAATAAACTGGTTCTTGGAGAAATGATGGATGCTGTTGAAATCTGTCTGCAAAAGAGGTGTTTACACTGTGGGGTTTTCTTGGAGGATGGGGGGAAACCTCTGTTGGGTCTAAGAATGGGTGTTGAGTTTTATTTTTCCAACACTACAGAGTGAATAGAAGTAGCAGCAGGAAAATTAACTCTGGCTTCAGTTACAGAGGGAAGAAAGACGGTGTGTGCAGTCAAACCGGCTCTTGGCTGCCTTGGGACGCGCGGGACTTCTTTATTAAAGCTGCCCTGCGCTGAAGGTCGTTTCCCTCAGTATCAAAAAAGCGAAGTCCGAGGGTGGAAAAGGGCGGGGCGGGGCCGGCGCGCGTTGCCATGGCGCCGGGGCGGCGCCCTTGTGAGGCGGCGCCGCGCGTCACGAGGCGGTTTGAATCGCCCAA